TGACCTACTGATCTGTTAACCATTACATAATGATTTTATAAACAATTTGTATTACTATATGTTTATTAGATGTATAATTATGGCTGTTGTTTAGTGCCAGTCAGAAATAAATAAAAAATAGTTATTTGTCATTAGGTATAACTTGTCTGAATTTGCAATTCATGAGCATGTTACATTTTGACACAAAACTAAACTTCTAATCTTACTGCTCCGACACTAAAGAAAGTGTCAAGTCAGTGGCAAAGCTTGTCTATTCAATTTCTGGGTGCAAATGACAAAGCGTGGGTTAAGTGCAAGTGCCAAGAATTGGATAAAGCCTAAATCAAACAACTTCAAACTAAAACACACATAAATAAACAATAAAATTCGGAAAAGTTTCAGATGTTCATTTCGAAATATTCAGGTCAGCATCAACAAAAAAGGAGGGAAAAACCTGCTTACTTCTTGCGAAACATATTGATTGTGCTATGGGCAAAATAAATGATGCATGCTTTTAACAGTTTTCTTGAAAAGTTACCAAACCTTTGAGCCTGTAGAGGTTTGACTCTCCTCCTTACAGTTACATATTCACTAATAATGTCTCTTAGTTGGATTATCCCATGAGAAGACCAGTTCCGAGTGCAAAAAAAAAAAGTCTTCTCTCATGCTCATGAGGCGGACTTCGTTTCGGTTCTCTCTGAGAAAGCGGTGGGTTTCCTCACACTGAGCCCTTGCGTGAGAGAGAGAGCGAACGAACGTGTGGACATATGCACAAGCATCAGCAGTATGTGTATGTTTGTGTGTGAATGCACAACAGAATGCCGATCCAATAAGCCTCAATATTAAAAACGCTCAAAGGATAAACCGCCATTTATGATATCATCTCTAGTGAAATATTTTTGTAGTGTGTGTGTGTGTGTGTGTCTAGCAAAGATATTGATTGAACTGCATGGACTATGTGCTGCAGTGTTGACATACACCTTGTTCTACATTCCAGTGGAACATGTGTACATGCATAGTGCACACCAGCATAAAACGATAACACAGCAGAAAGCATGAAGTGCGATAAGGGAGATCATAGTACCAACAGTATAACAATATATTTGGTAGAGAAATAAAAACTAAATTCAATTCAAAATATGAATAAACACTAAAGCCTAGTATATACATAATACAAATAACTGAAAAACTATACGGATGTACCTGAAACTGTAAAATACATATTTTCTCCTTAACATTCAGACAGAAAATAGGTGAGGATTCCAGTAACTGACTCCAGTAATAGTACTTCCTGTACAGTGCTCTTGGGTAAGTTTCTCTTTATCACTCATTGAGCAAATAGCAGGTACTGATAGCTAGTAAGTGATGGATTCTTCAACCGTCCAAATATCTTGTCATTATTTTAGTCATTTGCAAATTTTTCTAACAACAAAACAAGTTGGAAAATTATGCATTCTCATACAATGATAGTTAATAGTGATTAGGGGCTGTCTGGCTAAGGCATACATTAGCTTTGTGACTAAATTTCACCTATCATCGTGCCCAAGTGAACACAGTTCGCTTCTAGCCCACGTTCATGAAAAATTCATAATGGCATCAACAATATTGAATTGACATTTCTTAATCAAAATATGGAACCGGGCTTGATGCGAGCGTCGGCAGAGGTGAAGTTTAATAATGAACACAATGACCCACAAGTCATATAGATTTTTTGTTTGTTTGTTTTTTGATTTTTGGGATATTTTGGGCATTCCATGGTCACTATGAACTGTCATGTATGATAAGACCTAGCTGCGTATCTACTATTGTGCTTTACAGAAAAACTAGGGCTGTCAAATGATTAATTGCGATTAATCGCATCCAAAATAAAAGTTTGTGTTTACATAATATATGTGGGTGCACTGTGTATAATTATTTTGTATATATATATATATATATATATAAATACACACACACACACATGCATGTATATTTAAGAAAAAATTATTATTATAAAATATTTATATATTTATAATATAATTTATGTATGAATCTATATACAGTATATATACACGCAAATATTTCTTAAATATATACATGTGTGCATGTGTGCATATAAGCATGTGTGTGTATTTATATAAGATGATTAGACATAGTGCACCGACATATATTATGTAAACACAAACTTTTATTTTGGATGCGATTAATCGCGATTAATCATTTGACAGCCCTAAGAAAAACAAAACAGAATAAAAGTTTGGAACAACATCAGGGCGAGAAAAACAATTATTTTCGGGTGAAAAAGGTACTTATCTATAACGAGAGGGAAAAAAACTAAATTTGTACTCTATGGATCAAACACAACAACACTTATTTTCAATTATTAGAGGAAATCTTTTTTTCTGCAAAATTATTTCAAAATGGACAAATAATCAATTAAGGCAGATAATTTATGGGTTTTCAAGTTTGCAAAAAAATAGGCTAGATTTAAAAGTAAAAATAATCATTGTCATAAACTTGATCAGCAAAGTTTTCAGTTATCCTACAGTACGTTCTTGACGTAAACAACTCCTGCGGGCAAATATATGATTTTTATGAACGACTGTGGTTTTTCCTGACCGCTGAAATGCTTCCATGCAGATATGCACAGTGAGACGCATCTGTACCTGCATTACCAGTCTCGCAGACCTCCTCACAAACACATACAGAAGACGAGAAAGTTACACAGTGGTAACTATGCTCTTGGAGTGTCTGACGTCACAAACCTCGTGTAACCCTGCCAACTCAGGAGTTAAATTTAGATCTTGGGCACTGGTCCCAGACACTGCAAAACAATGTGATACCACAAGCACTGCTTCAGCTGGAAACACTGCTGCTGGACACGACTTCAAAAGTGATAGAATAGTGCACAGACATGCATTAAACACACTAGAAGGAACATATTGTGAACTTTAAAAACTGCAATTTGGTCCAGACAGAGGTGAGTATTTTACTGAACACCAAACTTTCAAAGAAAGATCTTAAGTCTCAAGTATCCACAAGATAAACATGAAGCAATTCATCCTGCAGTTGTCTTGAATTTTAGTGCTGGTTTCAGTGTTTATTCAGTAGTCAAAAGCCTTGTGTACATTTGGTATAAAAATACACAATACAGCAGTGAGTTAAGTCCAAAAGGTAAGTGTAGCCTATTTGGGACAGAGTATAGTATAGGCTATGCTTGCTAACTACTCTGTGCTATCTTTCCTTTGAAAAATGCAAACCACAGTAACACTTCATTGTTGTTATTGTTGACTTGACTTGAATTGAAATAGATGAAATAAAATAAAATGTAAATATTAGATAAAACACTGAAACTAAACTGAAATAAGAATTAAATAAAGCTAAATAGAAATATTTTTATAAACTACTAAAATTGACAAAAACAGCTAAATTACTCACGATGCAGTAACGGCGTCAAGAGACCCTTGCTTTGACGAATGTGACTAATAAGTGGTCGAAAACGACGCACATTAGTAGGCTACCAGGTGTAAACAACATACCATCTTTCAAATGACCATTGAGATTGGATCAACTGGGACGGATCTTAATTCCAGGTGCAAACAAGGCCTTTGAGAGATACTACCAGATTCCTGAACCTCAAGACTGAATGCTGCAATGTTGTAACCTCCTTTACTTCTTAGGGTCAAGATAAAATTTCACTTCCACTGGAAAAAACTTCCATTTGCAAAACTCGCAAAGACACAAACATATTTTTTTCCTTGAGAACTGACTTCATAAACAAACCTCATTTTGCCATGCTAGACCTATAAAGTATAACTATCCATTCCATAATACATGTACAGAATATCAGCTATCTCAAAAACATGTAGGCCTACTGGCATTCTATATCCATCCATTTCAAATCAATTAACACTAAAGAGTTTATTAATCTAGTTAAGCCTGATGGAGAATACTGGCTGTGCATGCGCGTGCAGACTTTCCACACACAAATGCTGTCTGAATAGGCAGCTCGCTAGGTTGACATACAGCCATTGTGTGGGGTCTGAACCCAGACGCACACATAAGACCCTAAAACTCGACTTGATACAGCCACCTAGCTGCAGCGCAGCGCTTATGTGGAGAAAAGAGAGAAGCAATGAGGCTGCGGTCTCTTTAAATCGCTTCGATGTGAAGCGTTTGTTGCCTATATACCGGCTCACACACAGTAATGTCCACATCGCACAGGGGGAGGTCGACGACGCCGGCCATTAACGCTTTGAGAACTACCTGTCACCCTCCGAAATTAGAGTCACTTAGCATATCAAAGAGAAATTCACCGCCTTGACACAAAAGGCAACGACACGATGCTCCTCCGCAATGGGTTGAGGTTCAAGTAACTGATTTGTAACACTAACTTTTCTGTAGCTGCATCTGAACCGGGAGTGTAAGATATCGATAAATTCTCATACGGTGTATTTGTTTCCCCAAACCATCGCTATCCTTCGTTTGTATCGCGCTGACGGGTTGTATTGAGACATCACAGAAAGAGAAATGTCTCCGAAAATAAAGTAAAAACAAGCTAACGTTAGTTGCATCCTTTTAAACAGCTCCCCTATAAACTGACTAGTGGAGTTGAATATGAATTGAACTTTTACATTTAAACCAGTGCTAATTGAGTAATAATAGCACATTCACGTTGCCTACTTTAATTATTAGCAAGCTGATGTTGATTTTCAATTCCCATGTTTTCTAAACACGCCTGAACTACAAGTAGTAAGTAGGAGGAGATCAAATGACATCATCAACAACTACATAACTTTGTACGAGCTGCTCTGCAAAGTATCAAAACGCCTTTAAAGTTAGTCGGAGCTCTAAAGCACGAGAAATAGTCCGTAAATCGGATTGAAGTTGTTGTGATTGTCCCAGCGTCGCCGGAGTTTTCAGTTTCGATAAGTGTAAAAAGCACAGACTCCACAGCGAAAGTTTAGCACCGCAACCAAACAGCACTGTGTTCGTTACAAACACCTATAAAAGACTCGTCACGCACACGGTAACCTACTCACCGCGATCAGAGTGTTGTTCCTCTGCTCGATGGTCGCGGTTGAATCGGGCTCTTGTTGCTTGCTCTGCTGTTTGCTGTTGCTGGATTTCTTGGCTCGCAGCTCTAAAGTCCGCTGGTGCAGATTCACCGTCTCCCGGCGCTCTAGCTCCAGCTGCTCGGCGTGCGCTTGCTGGTAGCGGCTCTCGCAGTTAACGTGGTGCCGCCGGCAGCCCTCGATCCGCTGCCGGAGCCGCTCCACCACCGTGCTGTGCTTCGGTATGCCGACGTTACCGCCGCCGCCGCCGGTGCTGCTGTTGGTTGCATTAATGGCAGAGTTTAAGTTACTGTTATTAATGCAAATACCGCCGCCGGTCGGTACGGCAGCGGGGCTGGCAAAATCCCCCATCATCTGTGATTCGGGAAGAACTTTGTCAAGCCCCCCTGACTCTCTCTCTCCCCTCTCCGAAGCGGAGCAGAAGTCCGCTTCGCCAGGGAGGTAGATACAGTGAAATGGGGAGGAAATAAGCGTTTAAATGAGTGTAAATCCCTCCTTCGGGAGGATCGCCGTGTCAACCATTTAATAGACAACAGTGCGGGACCGTGGAGTAGCGGGTCTGTTACTCTCTCGCCTCTACTGGAGCTCCATCAAACATCCGGATGTTACTCGCAACCATCACGCATAAGCACCGCTGCTTCGAGCCCGTCGTTTTATTGTGCTGTCCTTTTGAAAAAAGTTTTGCCGTCTGCTGAGAACAGGCTCCGGAGTTGTTTCGTGAACTTGCATTGCATTAGTTTGGCCGGCGAAAGCCTCCACGAGCGCGAACAAGGTGTGCAGTTTCTAAAAGTCCCGATGGCTGGAGAGGAAATCCTACAGTCGCCAATGTGTACAGCAGCTGCCACCATCACAATAATCAAGCGCTCCCCTCCTCCATGCTAGCGGAGTGATATCAGGACAACAGCCGAGCGAAGAGCAGCCACCAGCCTGCGAGCTGCACGTCAGCTCCGCGGAAAACACGGCGCGGAATCTAGTGCGCTGGACGCGGAGTCAATATTGACTTCAGAGGAGGTGAACGACAGAGCGGTGTAATGCTGGCGGGTTATGGTACTGCATCTGAATCATCTGATACTCAGAGTTCGTGAGAGTACAAAGCACTATATGACTGTGATGTGTTACGGGATAACCTATTATCATAAATAGGCTACCTTAGCCTTACACACATATAAAATAAAATGTAGGCTGAAAAATGAAAAACGTATTAATAATAATATATGTATATTGCCTACTAGGCTATGTCTATGTTCTAATGGAAATAAAAGAGAAGGGCAAAAAAGAAAAACCTAATATATGTATATATAGCTATATATATATATATATATATATATATATATATATGAAGAGTTCAGATGCAAAAGCCTCTAAATGCCATTTGAAATTTTCTTCTAAAATGACAATTTTTATCAAGCTTTTATATTTAAGTTCAGTAATTTAACTTAAATGACAATTAATAGGTAATCTTCATTGCCATTTAAGTGAAATTACTGAACTTAAATATACAAGCTCGATAAAAATGATCATTTTAGAAGAAAATTTCAAATGGCACTTCATATATATATATATAGTTTTTAGGTTCGGCAACTAGATGTGGTTCTTCAGAGTTTAAAAGTTGTATTGTACTTTCTTCTGATCAGTGTATTGGTTTCTGTGTTCTTTAAAGTCACCATGAAATTGACAATTCTTGTTTTTTTATTGAATATTTCAGTATTTATTCTAAATGATTTATCTGTAAACTTGATTATTTTATTTTTATTTCTACTGTCATAATATTTAATCAAAATAACCTCCTCTCCGTCTTACAGCAAACGTTTTTTTTTTTCTCTTATTAAATGTTTGAAGGCGCAATGACGGGGAAACCTCATGAGATCACAGCAATGTAAACCACAACTACCCATTCCAATCAATTCTCAAAATCAAGTGCCATACATTTTTTTCTTGTTCAAAAAGTCGTTTCACTTGGATATGTCACAATATAGGGAAGAAAAACACTATCACAATTTGATATGATGAATATTTAAGCCTTTTTCCTTTCTTAAACAATAAAAAGGTGCATGTGCTTGCTGAAACAGGAAATGTGTTTTTTAGCTTGCTTATAGTTTTATTTTCACGGATTGAGATAGACTATACACAGACAGAAATATGTACTTCTCAGAATATACTTATGCTTATTTATACTTATACTTGACTTATACTGACAACTGATATTTTGATCAAGATATACTTAAAAGTAGCCTATTAAATACTTTTTTCACATAGTTTTACATATCCTCTTATTTACCTAAATTGTTTGAAAATATAGAAGAAAACCGATATGTTCCTAATTCTCAGTATGTGAATTTTTGTTTATTCCACTGATAGCTATGCATTGATGGAATTTTCCAGCAACCCATGTTTTCACTGAAATAGTACGGTAGTATTTCTACACAAATCAAACAAAAAATGAAACCAGAGTCAAATCAAAACTTAACTGAACAGCTTTGGGAGTTGATGGACTCGGTCTATGTTTTTGTTCAAAATGTTGCTTTTTTTATGAAACGTATCCACATTCAAATGTTGATAAAAAATAATATAGCTAGAAGAAAATGTGGTGGTTGTTGTTTAAACAGATGCCCTGTTCTTTCTTTTTATATATTGCATGTTCAGACAATCATATAAAAACTACCGCAATCAACTATACTGAATAGTGACTTTACTGTATTTTAAAACATAGTGCAAAATCAAGAACTGTACTTAATTTTACGGTATAAATATGCTATAAGTTAGTCTGCGAACTACTGTAGTCAGATTTACAGCAATTTTACCGTGGAATAAAATACTGAAGCTTGCAGGATATTTGTGCAGTAAGTTACTGTTGATTTTACGTTAAATTTGTTACAGTGTGTGTACAACAAAATTATGGGAGTTTTGTGAAAATTATCAAAAAAAAAAGTTATGCCGCTGACTGGCAACTTTTTTATATATATATATATATATATTTTTTATTTAAAGCTTTTTACATTTTTACAACCCCCCACCCCATGCCAGCATATAAGTAACAAGAAAATAAAGTACATAAATAATAATAATAAAAATAAAATAAATAAGTAAATAAACAATAATGATAAATCCCAATATATACATATGTAAAAGTACATACACACACAAACATATAATGCACATTCCTACATATGAAGAGTTCAGATGCAAAAGCCTCTAAATACCATTTGAAATTTTCTTCTTTAATGATGATTTTTGTCAAGCTTGTATATTTAAGTTCAGGGATTTCACTTAAATAACAATTAATAGGTAATTATCATTGCCATTTAAGTGAAATCACTGAACTTAAATATGCAAATTTGATAAAAATCATCATTGAAGAAGAAAATTTCAAATGGCACTTAGAGGCTTTTGCATCTGAACTCTTCATATGTACATACAGATACACATTACAGACCCAGATACACATATATTAAAAGTAAAATACTGAAAATAAAATGCCTGGCAACTTTTTTTAATGCTGGTGGGGAAAGAGTTAAAGTAATTAAATGTATATTTCTAATAACTAAATAGGAACATATGAACGTGTGTGTGTGTGTGTGTGTGTGTGTGTGTGTGTGAGAGAGAGAGAGAGAGAGAGAGAGAGAGAGAGAGAGAGAGTAATTGTGAAAAAGTGCTGCTGCCCAGTTTGCTGAGTAGAGCTAAAAAACAAATTGTAAACACATTCATTCATTCATTCATTCTCTCTGTCTCTCTCTCTCTCTCTCTCTCTCTCTCTCTCTCTCTCTCTCTCTCTCTCTCTCTCTCTCTCTCTCTCTCTCTCTCTCTCTCTCTCTCTCTCTCTCTCTCTCTCTCTCTCTCTCTTTGCGCGCATGCGTGAGCGTTTGTTGAGCGAGCGAGTGGGAAGCGTGGTGAGTGTGTGGACTATTTCTCTTTTTTTGGCCGCTGTGTCAAAACTAGGTTTTCTATTTTTCTATCTTTTATCTTTCTACTTTGTGGTATACGGGTTTGGGAGGGTTAAGATAGTGGTGTGTTGTCTGTCTGCCAGTTTTTATAACTGGCAGGATGACTTCAGGTGTGAGGACGCTAGATTTCCTCACACGGCGTCATGCGGTGAAGTTAAGTTTGAACGCTAGTGTGGAAGAGTGCAGTTTGGCCATAGGAGAGGTGGTTGGCTGCGAAAATGTTCTGTCAGCATCGAGGATGAACAACGCAATTGTTGTTTTTTTGAAAACCGTTGAATTAGCAAACTTGTTGGTTGAAAGTGGTGTTGTCATTGACAATGTTTTTGTTCCAGTGTTACCGCTGTCTACTCCGTCCAAAAAAGTTACTCTATCAAACGTCCCACCATTCATAAAAACGAAGTGTTGGTGAAATTGTTAGAGAGGCATGGTAGATTAGTTTCCCCAATCAAAATGATTCAGATTGGTTGTAAGTCGACGTTGCTGAAACACGTAGTGTCTTTCAGACGTTTTGTTTACATGGTATTAAAGGACAATAAGGAGGAATTGGATTTGACGTTCAATTTTAATCACGACGACTTCAACTACGTAGTTTATGCTACGACCAATAGCATGAAATGCCTTAGTTGTGGGGAAATAGGACATCTCGTGAGGGTTTGTCCAAAAAAAGATGAGAAATCAAGGAAAAAAGTTTCAGCAGCCTCAGTTGAAAGGGTTGGTGAGGTTGAAGGTGCAGTACAAATTGTCAGGAGTGAAGTGCCTACAACAGTGGTAACGTTAGTTGATGAGAACACTGTACAAAAACATGTAGATGCAACTTCAACAGATTCATCAGGTGATGCTGCAGCCTTGAAGGAAAAGGGGGGTGAGCGAGAGGCAGTGGCAGTAGGAGAAGCCTCTGTCCCTGAGGAGGGGCACCAGTTAACTGATGGTTTAGAAATGCAGGGTTCAGTAATCAACCAGGACATGGAGGTGGAAGGCGAGGATCTTTATTCTGGGGGGAACAAGCTGATTGTGTTTTCAAAACACCACAAAAAAGGAGAATGGAACAGAGCCACTACAGTAATTCAAAAAAACTGGGAAATAGTCAAACTGATACTGAAAGTGACACTGACCTTTCAGAATGCAGTGTTACTTTTGATCAGACGAAAGACGAAACTACAGAAAAATCTTACAGTGTGGATGATGTTAAGCTCTTTTTGAGAGCAACAAAGAATGCAAGAAATGTGCGTATTTCAGAATACTTTCCTGATTTGATGCAATTTGTAGAAAAAACAAAGAGTTTTAGGAGTGAAGGTCTTTTCTCTGATCAAGAAGTTTACAGACTGAAAAAAATTCTCACAAAAGTACAATTTCAATTAGGAATCAATGCTGAATAGTTTTAAAATTACGCTTATGAGATGAGGCTTTTTTGTGTCTTGATTATCCTTTTCTTTTCTTTAATGAAGGAGTTTCATTTTGCTTCCCTTAATTTAAATGGGGCACGAGAAGGGAAGAAAAGGTTTGAATTATATGAGTTAATGAAGATAAAGAAAATAGATATTCTGTTTGCACAAGAAACTCATAGTGATGTTTCCAATGAAGAAGATTGGGCAAGAGAATTTGATGGGTTAACCTTTTTTAGTCATAATTCATCTCTAAGTGGCGGTGTTGCTATTTTATTTTCTAAAAACTCCATTCCAATTTCTTATGAAGTAGAAGAAGTTGTAAAAGGCAGATTTTTAAAAATAAGGGCTCAATTTGACAATGCTTTTTATTGCTTCTGTTGTATTTATGCTCCCACCAATGCAGTTGAAAGAATGGGCTTTTTGAATATATCATGTAAAGCACTAAGTGATTGTAATACTGAGGATTTGTTCTTATTTGGAGGTGATTTTAATTGCACTGAATTTGCCTCAGATAGAAATCATGTTGAGCCTCATATGGCTTCTCGAAAAAGGCTAATTCAGTTAATAGAAACACATGATCTGGTTGACATTTGGCGGAATTTTCA